GGGGGGGGCTCTGCGGGAATAGGGGACGGTGTGGGGATGGGGGATTGTGTGAGAATGCGGGAGTGGGGATGTGTGGGGATGGGGGGCCATGGGGAAGGAGAAGCTGTGTGGGGATGGGGCTGTGTGGGGTGGAGGGGATGCATGGCATGAGGGAGCTGTGGGTGAACTGAGGGGCTCTGTGGGGTGGAGGGGCCATATGGGGACAAGGGTCTGTGTAGGGATGAGAGGTGTGGGTGGACTGGGGGGTTCCGTGGGGTTGGGGGGCCATGTGGGGATGGGGGACACTCTTCTCCCTGCGTCCACAGGGACGGACCCACCCCTACATGTCGGACCCCAATCCCCCCGAGCTGCTGCGCCTCATCTTCTCAGCTCTGTCCTTCGTGAGTGCCCCCCAAACGGGCCCCACCCCTCAAAATGCGTGAGACAGGCGGGGATCACCCCTCACTCCCCCCATGCTGGGGGGTGCGTTTGGGGGTGCTGCTCCATCCCCCTCCCCTCCAGGTCCTGGCCCACTGCCCCAGCCCCGGCCTGGCCCCGGGGGTGGAGAGTCCTCTGCTGCTGCCGGAGGCGCTGCAGTTCCTTGAGGACACCCTGAACGATGAGGACTACGGCGTCTGGAAGAGCCTCGGCACTGCCTGGAACAAGTCCAGGTGGGGTCCAGCCCTCCGACACCCAGAAGGGGGGGTCTGGATTTGAGGGGGGGGTCACAACACCCACCCCGGTGTCCTCCCCGACGGTTGTAGGGCTGAGTACCCCAACAGCGCCCTGGTGCCCGCGTACACCCCGGTTTTTTCGGACGGGTGGCTGCCGCCCATGATGGAGCAGGAAGGCCGCAGGGGCCTCCAGGACACCCCACCGCCAGCCTCAGTTTCCCCAATTCCCTTGCGACACCCTTCCCGGTCCCTGCCCCCTTCACAGCCACCGGCCACCAGCTGGAGGGACAGTCCCAGCCAAGCGTAAGTGTCCCCCTTCCCCCACGGATGGAAGGTTTGGGCATCCCGAACTGGACATGGGACATGTCCAGACTTGGACATGCCCCCCTACGGGAGCAAGATTTGGCCCCGGACTCGGTACTGATCCACCCCCTGACCACTTCCAGACCCCGTCTCCCTGCCCAGGGGCTGGTCCGAGCCCTGTACGATTTCCAGGCCAGGAATTCGCAGGAGCTGAGCGTCAGGAAGGGGGACATGCTGCAGGTAGAAACGGGGGTCCCCTCCATGGGTGCTCGTGGGGAGGACGAAGTTGGGACCGCGGAGCCCTTGCCCTCCACCCCACTTGTCACCTCCCCTAGGTCTTGGACCAGCAGAGGAAGTGGTGGCTGGTGCAGGACGAGCGAGGGGACAGGGGGCACGTCCCTGGCAACATCCTGGAGCCCCTCCCGGAGCCGGGGCACAGCGCCAGACAGGTGGGGGTCCCCTCTCCCCTCCCTTACCCGGGCCCCCACACCAGGAAGGGGTGGCCGATGGCTACCCCGATGTCTCCTCCTTTGTCCCTCCTCCAGGACAGTCCCCCAACCCTGCACCCCAACTCCTCTCCGGCAGAGGTGACAGCCTGGCTGATGGACAAGGGCTTCTCGCGGATGTAGGTGGTCTCTGGAGCCCCTCTCCCCCAAACCCTCGTGGGTCCATTTGGGGTGGAGGCGAGCCCGGCTCACCCCTGTCCGCCCGCCCGCAGCACGGTGCGGACTTTGGGGGTGCTGCCGGGGCACGAGCTGCTGCAGATGAGCCCGGCCGAGCTGCGAGGTGTCTGTCCCGAGGAGTGGCGGCGGGTCCTGTTCAAGCTGTCCCCCATCAGGACATCCCTGGGGGTGAGCGACTCCCACCCCCGCACCCCCTCCCCATCTCGGGACTTTCGGACCCTCGGCCCCACGCCCCCTCCCCAGCCCCGGGGCTGTCCGTGGGTGTGAGGGACCCCAACCCCCGTGCCCCCCTCTCCGGCCCAGGGTGTCCCTGGGGGGACCCGCACTCCTCCTCAGTCCCGGACGGATCCTGTGGGTGAGAGAACCCTGTCCCAGCCCGGGCTGGCCACGGGGGTGAGGGACCCTCATGCCTCTCCCCGCCAAACTTCTCCCATTCCCTTCCCTGCAGATCGATCCCAGGGACTGAGCCACCGAGGCCACGCTGATGTCCCCATCATGTCGCCGCCCCGGACGGAGCACCCTGGGAACGGCTGGACTTGGGGGCGAACCCACTCCCCACATCCCTCCTGCCCCCCCAGGACAGAGAACCACTCCTTGAAATGAGAGAACGTCCCCCCCAAAGCCACCAGTGAGTGACACTGGGGACCCCCGCCCAAAGGAATTGGGGGGCAGGCACTCCCCTCGGGGGATCAGGCGCTAGGAAATCACTTTGCACCCCCAAAATGTAAAGGGGTTGATGTGGAAAATAAAAGTGACAGCAGTTGGGCGTGCGGAGTCTGGGGGGCACCCCGGGGGCAGGGAGAGGGACGGGGGGAATAGGGGAACAGGGGAATAGGGCAGGGAGGGGGACACAGCACTGCACCCCCCGCAGCACCCAAGGCACATTCCTGTCCCCATCTTTGCGAGTTGATGGCAGCAAGGGCCTCGGGGGACAAGGCTGTCCCCAGCCCACCTCACTCAGCACCCTGGGTGGGTGGCACAGCACCAAGGCTCCCTCCCTCCCCTCAGGCTTTGTCAGGGCTGATTCATTAGAGCTCATTAGGAATGCGCTAATGAGGAGCGGGGGCGGGAAGAAGGGAGGAGCACTGGGCTCCTTTCCCACGGCAACGAGGGAGGGCCCTGGGGACAGCACAGGGCTGAGCTCGTGCCCCCAAACCAAACTGAGGGACTGGGCCCCTCACCCACACCCAGCAACCCCCAGCCATGGGTGGGGGCCGCCTCAGTGCCCCCAACACCACAAGGCTTGTGGGGGACTCAGGCTGCCACATCTACAAAGCATTTTATTGTCTTGGGGGTGTCATGCCAGTGGTGCTGTCCCCCCCCAAGGATAGAGGACGCTGGAGGGGCTGGGTTAGGACTGTCCCCACCCTCCAAACCCCATGCTGAGCTCCTACAGCTTCTTGTTGCCCCACTTGGCCATCTTGTTGTTGATGGGCATCTTCTGGAAACGGCTGGACTTCATGTAGGCAGCCACCTTCTCCAGAGCCTGGGGACACACATGGAGTGTCAGGGACACCCCCACCGCGGCAGCCCCCACCCAGGGGTGACCTCGGGGTGCCCCTGCTCACCCCAAAGCGGTCCATGAAGTCCTTGAGGTTCTTGAAGGGCTCCAGGCACTTGGGCTCAAAGATGAGGTTCTGGTCCAGCACGTCGAACATGAGGAAGTCTACGAAGGTCAGCTGGGGACATCGGGGGGACATAGTGAGGACAAATCCCCTCCCCAGCCCCCTCAGATTTCCCCCTCGAAAGTCCTGGCAGTACCTTCTCCCCTGCAAACCACTTTCTGTCCCCCAAGAAGTTGGAGAAGAGCTTCAGCTTCCCCGGGAGCTGCTCCAGGTAGCCTGGCTTCAGCTTCTCCTGAGGGAAGAAGGAAGGGGTGAGGATGGGCAGCCCCAGCCTTCCACCCTGGGGAGCACCCTCCCAGTATGGGGTCCCCAGTGCTGGCACGGGGTCCCCCAGCCTGCAGGACACTCACAAAGTCAGGGTTGTAGCAGACCATGACAAGGCTCATGCGGAAATCCATGATCTGGTTCTCCAGCATGTCCACACGCAGGATCTCCTCCTCTGTCTCACCACCTGCCCAGGGGGATGTCAGCATTGGGGGACCAAACCCTCCCTGATCCCAGCCCTGC